GGGTATGCCGAGCTAGCCGCCCCGAGGTGTTTGTGCCTCAGGGCGTCCGGAGAAGAATCGGTGTGTTCTAGCTTGGGAGTGACCCAAGGTCCATTGGGAGGAGCTCGGGTCTCAAAAAGGGGTCAGGGTGCCCCGAAATCGGGACCCCCCGAAGCGCCTTAACCCCGGGGAGGAGGTGCGAGCAAGGCGGCTTTCGGCGAGTAGTTTACCTGCCGAGTTGTCGTGCTGAACTCGGTGGAACTTTCCCTCCGAGTTGTGCTCACGCTCGTTGCGCTGTCATGCTGAGTCACTGTTTGAGCAAGGTCATGCCCACGTGTACCTGTGCTACGAGGTCGGGCCAAATCACCCTCCATCAATTGCCCCCCACTCCTTACGCTGGCGGCGGTGACCCAGCGCAGGGAGGTCATGACGCACCGGGTGGATTTGGCGTCGGTATTTATGCCACTTTGTTGCGTGCTCCGTCCAACTGTACCGGTCTAGCACTCGGTTCGACCGAAAAAAGATTCGAGTCGCGTCTAGATTACGCGCGGACTTCACGTGACTTGAACTTTGCGGATGTCAAAAACGCGCTAAATTGTTTCTTTCTTTTAGTTCGATATGTCATCTAGTGTAGACAGTCTTATCAACAAGCCCGATGTAGGTACCTCGGCTCGGGGTGTCTCCTCTATTGCCCAGCCATCCGAAGTACGGGTGGCTTTGGGTCATCTGGCGTCCACCTCCCACCAAGGTCGGGAACTAGATCAGTTCGGGCCTTCCATAATGACTTCGGAGAGGCTTCAAGACCTCATACAGAGGTTCCGCCTCCCTAACGAGTACTCATATAGTCTTCCCACGGGCAACTTCCCATGGGGAGCACGGTCCCAACGAGATCGTGATCTTCAGGGAACAACTGATAGCCGGGCTCAAACTTCCCCTTCACCCTTTGATTGTTGAGGTGTTGGTACACTTTAACATCACCTTGGACCAACTCCACCCGAACTTCATACGGAATGTGGTGGGGTCCATTTCTCTTTGCTTTGATTGTTCCCTCTCTATAGATTTAGATGTTCTCAGTACAAATTTGGCTATAAAGAAGAGCGCTTCGGGCGCTCTCCTCGGGCATAGGCGGTTCTATTACCTGTCCCCCCGCCCGGGTTTCAAACTCATGCACAAGCTCCCGAGCAAAGTCCCAGCTTGGAAGCGGGACTACTTCGTAGTCCAGAGCAGTACGGGGTGGCCCTTCCCCACCGATTGGAGGATAGCCGTTCAAGATCCTGGTGTCATCCTAGACGAAGACTAAGAAGGAGCTCCAGTCACTGGCTCAGCTCGGGTTGCATTATAAAGACTTCACTTCAGAGGAGAAGCTCATCCGAGCGAGCTTGAGTTTGGGTAGGTTTTCCCCACTTTGGTTTTCTGTTCATATATTTGCTTCAGGTTGCTGATGTCGTGTTTCACTACAGGTCTCATGGAGGCGGAGAAAATAGACAACCAGAAGCTCTTCCACCAGATGAAGAGGAAGAAACGCGTGGCAAAGAAGGCGCGCGTTGGGTCCCCGCAAGCTTTAGCCGAGCCTCAACTTCCGCAGACTTCTGCCTCGGGGCCCGAGGTGGCAGCCGCACCCATCATCGACTTGGAAGAGGGGGCTATGCCTAAGGGGCCCAAGGTGATGGCAGAACTTGCCGTTAAGCCCACCGAGCCTGCTGCCGAGCCCACTAGACTTGCCAGAGAAAGCGTTGCCGAGGCCAACGCTGCTGCTGCCGGGGCTCATCCTGCCGAAGCTACCACCGAGGCCTCCGAGAGTTCTACTAACGATGTGGAGATGACGGCTTCCAACTCAAAGGGTCAGGGGAGCCAAACCGTCCTGAACCCCAGTGTAGCCTGAAGAAGAGTAAGCTGGCTGCATACTCAGGGGAGGTCAGCGAGTGGGCCGAACTCACTCCTGGTCAGCTCGGCGCCCGAGCTGCCACTCATACTATGGTGGTGGGTCCCCCTTCTTTTTTCTTTTTCTTCCTTTCTTTTTTTTTTTTTGCTGGTCTCCGTCTTAACCGGTTCTCCTTTTAGTAGGTGAACTCCGCCATTCGCGCCTTGACCCTCCAATCAGATCGACATTTGAGGCGGGCTCTGGAGGCTGAGAAATCATCTCGCACAACCCATACTGAGTTGAGGGCAGCTCGTTGTCAGGTTCACCGCTTGGAGAGTGACGCCTCGGCTCAAAAGAGCTTCATCGAGGTGTTAATGTCAGAGAAGGGGGAGCTGGCTCGAGACAAAGACAAGTTGAGGGTTGAAGTGAATGGTCTCAAGGTCGGCCAGGAGGCCTTAGGGCTCAAGATGAGCAGCCTCAAGGCTGAGCGGGATGCCTTGAGGCTTGAGGTACAAGGCCTCAAGGAGGCGAAGGGGAAACTGGAGCATGAAGTGGAGTACCTCCAGGAGGACATAAGGGAAAAGACTGCAATCTTCGAGGGTGCTCTCGAGGAGGCCAAGACCCAGGCCGTCATTGACTATGTCAACTCTTCAAAATTCGATGACGTGATGACAGAGGCCTACCGTAAGGGCTTCAAGCTCAGTCGGTGGCTGATCGGGCACCTCTACCCCGAGCTGGACACGAGCGCCATTACTACTTCGCGGATTACTGACGACATCGTGCGTCA